GATTTCTACTTGCAGGGAGTTGGCATTGGTTCCCTTCCAGATTAGATTTCTACTTGTAAGGAATTGGCCTTGACTTCCTTCCAGATTAGATTTCTACTTTCAGGGAATTGGTCTTGGCTTCCTCGCGATAACACAACTTCCTTGTGGTAACATCGGTTGCAACCCACCGCTGCATCACACCAATCCGTGGTTTAGTTATGGTTTGTCAAACAGCAGCGGTTGAGCGAGCCTCTCTTCTCTGATTTGAAAGATAGCCAGGTTGCAACGTTTTAGAATAGAATAACAAGAGCTGGGAGGGACCTTGTAGGTCATCTAGTCCAACCCCCCCCGGCCCGAGCTGGAGACCCTACCTACACCATTTCTGAGAGATGGCAGCGGTCTGTTCAAAGGGTAGGTTTGACCTGCTGTCACACTCAAGCAACTCTTCCCTCCCGGGAGAGTCATTATTCAGGTAGACTGCCCCTGAAGCTGGAGGTTTTACCCAACTATCCTTACCCCAAGATTAGATCTAAATAGAGGCGCTCCAATCTCAGTGTTTCTCTACCGTGAAGACGGGTGGACTTCAACTCCCAAAATTCCCCAGTCAGTTTTCATGGGCTAATTTTTTAAAAAAAGCATTGCTGAAGTTAAGGTATATTACATCTACTGCATCCCCGCTTTCTATTAAGCGATTTACCCTATCAAAAAAAAAAAAAAGCAATAAAGGTGGCCAAGCCGCATATGTTTTTTATACATTGTTAAACAGAGGCTTAATGTCGAAGGCAAACCAGGCCTTAGGTCTCTAACTGGTAAAGTAAGAGAGTCAGTTTGCCGTACGGCGCTGGGTGTCAAACTCGCCGCGTCACGTTGCCGTCACACGACGATTCGCGACGTTCTCCCCTTCGCAGAGCTGGGGTGGGCATGGCTTGCGCACGATGTATCCGGCCTGCTGGCCGTCAGTTTGACACCCCTGCCGTCAGGGGTAGTATTCACTTACTTTCCCTAGGTATGAGGTAAAGGTTCCCCTCACACATATGCGTTAGTCGTTCCCGACTCTAGGGGGCAGTGCTCATCTCCGTTTCAAAGCCGAAGAGCCAGCGCTGTCCGAAGACGTCTCCGTGGTCATGTGGCCGGCATGACTCAACGCCGAAGGCGCACGGAACGTTGTTAGCTTCCCACCAAAGGGGGTCCCTATTTTTCTACTTGCATTTTTTACGGGGTTTCGAACAGCTAGGTTGGCAGAAGCTGGGACAAATAACGGAAACTCACCCCGTTACGCAGCACTAGGGATTTGAACCGCCGAACTGCCGACCTTTCGATCGACAAGCTCAGTGTCTTAGCCACTGCGCCACCGCATCCCTTTACTTTCCCTACCGGGTTCGCAAACGTCCCCGTCCACGCATGCGCCCAGCCTTCCGCGCATATGTTTTGCTGGCGTGCGCGCCTTCCACATATGCGCCTGGCCTCAAAAACATGCCTAAACAGGATGGCATAGAACCGGAACGGGCCCACTTGCGATTTCTGTTACCGGTACGGGCGAACCGGCTGAATACCACCTCTGCCTGCCGTACAGCAAAAGGCCATTAAACCTGTGGACTTCAACTCCCAGAATTCCTCAGTCAGCCACCCTGCCAAGGGAATTCTGGGAGATGAAGTCCACCCACCCAGAGGAAATAAAATTTAAAATAAAATAAAAAACCAGGACATTTAGGGTTATGGAGAAGGAGATTTAAGCCAGCATGGAAAACAAAGCTGTGAAGCAGATGTTGGTTGAACCCCTGACCCGTATTTTTTTCATCCGTTTGATATCTGGACGGCTTTGGCCAGGGTTCAAATTTTATCAGGAGTTTCCCCCCCTCCCCAACCCCTGATCCTGTGAAAGTACAGTTTGTTCTTTCTTCTACTTTCCTATCTCGGCCTTTCGGTTCCTTCTGGCCCTTTGGCCTCCTTTCCGTTCTCCGCATCTGTCCACATCTGCCCCGACAGCAGAATTGCTGGGTGGGCTTTGGAGAGGGAGGCCGAGAATCTCCCCTTGGCCCACTGACCCTCGCTCTCCTTTCCCGGAAGCCCCAGCCGACGCTGAGTCAGGGGACAAAGAAAGGGGAAGGGAGACAAAAAGCTTGCACAAGCCCTTTAGGGACTAGAAACTTGGCACATCGGCGTTGGAGGGAAAGACTGGGTCGAGGCCTGGTCACAAGGCTGAGTGGGTGAAAGCAGAGTCTCAGAACTGTGGCAAAGGGTTTGCACATGTTACGATTTCTTGTATTCGGGGCTTAGAGGCCTACCCGTGCTCGGAAATTCAAATTAAGAAGCGCCGCAGGAAGCAAATTGTGTTTTCTTCACAAATTTCTTCACAAAGTATCTGCAGGATATGTGTGAACATCGCTGACTATGGGATGTTTTGAATCCGGATACGCCCGGAAGATTTGGCATCCCATGTTTAACATTTTTTTCCCAGCCGGTGAGGCCTTTCGAACCATGTTGGTCCCAATTGTGTCGTAAGTCAAGGACTAGGGTCCTAGCCCTCGATTTACGACACGATCAGGACCAACATTTCCCTTGTGAAGTAAGGCGGTGGTTTCAGTGAGTCACGTTCAATTTTACGACCATTTTTTGGCCACGGTTGCTAAGCAAATCGCTGAAGTTGTTAAGTGAATCAAATGGTCGTTAAGTGAAACTGGCTTCCCCTCTTGATTTGGCTTGTTGGAAGCCGGCGATCACGTGATCCCCCGTCGTAAATGCCCAGCACCCCAATTTGGATTGTGTAACCGTGACAATAATCTAATGGTCGTAAGTGCGAGGACCGGTCGTAAAGTCCCCTTTTTTTTTTTTAGTGCCCTTGTAACTTTCAATGGTCACTGAATGGTTATAAGTTGAGGAGCAGCCTGTACAGGTTGTCCTCGACTTGCGACCACAATTGAGCCCAAAATTTAGGTTGCTAAGTGAAGCATTTGTTAAGTGAGTTGTGCTCCATTTTACGACCTTTCCTGCCACTGTCGTTAAGTGAATCATTGTAGCTGTTAAGTCAGGAACACGGTCGTTAAGCGAATCTGCCTTCCCCATCGGATTTGCTTTGTAGAAGGTCGCAAAAGGGGATGGCGTGACACCGGGATACGACGTCTGTCATAAATAGGAACCAATTTGCAAAGCATTCAAATTTTGATCCTACGACCAAGGGGAGGGTGCAGTGGTCATAAGGGCGAAACAGGGTCCTAAGTCCCATTTTTTTCAGGGCCGTCGTAACTTGAAACGGTCACTAAATGAACTGTTGTAAATCGAGGACTGCCTTTACCATGTTAGACCCAACAAGGAAAAAAACGTGAGGAAAAAAGAGTCAAAATATTCCCAGAATGTCCCTTACTGCGACGGCTGTAAGTGCGAGGACCAGACGTAAGTCGCTTTGTTTCATCCTAACTTCAAATGGTCGCTAAATGAGCTGTTGTAAGTCAAGGACCACCTGTACCTTTAAGAAAAGTCTTATTTTTTTAAATAAAACTCACCTGGGGAACTTGCCGGAATACTAAACCTGAGGAGAGGAACCCTTTTGCAAGGAGCGTCCCAGCTGGTAAAACTAAAAATATTGCAGAAATAAAAGCAGACCTTTATATCTGGGGTTTGGGATTGAACACGGTTTGCGAATTCAACCCATCGTGGTTTAAATGGTGTGAACCTCAATCAATCAAATGGTGGCTGAATGTGATGCAGCTAGCTAGCTTGTCCTTGAATGGTGATGGCTGATTGGCAGGGATGCAAGTATTTGTAGAGTCTATCTAGGCTCTTGAAGCTGGCTTGTTTCATAAGCCATGATTAAACAGGGGCTTAATGTCCAGGCAAAGTGGGCGTATGTCTCTAATTTAAAGTAAAGAGAGTCAGTACGCTGTACTACAGTAAGGATCACTAAACTTGGCCCCTTTAAGGCCTGTGGACTTCAACTCCCAGAATTCCCCACCCAGCCATGTAGGGCAACTTTCTTAATAGATGGTGGGTATGCAGTAAGCGTAATATATCTTGACTTCAGCAAAATGGGGGGGAAAAAAGAACTGTCTGGGGAATTCTGGGAGTTGAAGTCCACACGTCTTAAATCAGGGGTCTCCAACCTTGGTCACTTTAAGGCCTGTGGACTTCAACTCCCAGAATTCCTCAGTCAGCCATAGAGGATAATTTTCTTCATAGATGGTGGGTATGCAGTAAGCGTAATATATCTTGATTTCAGCAAAGTGGGGGGGGAGAGCTGGCTGGGGAATTCTGGGAGTTGAAGTCCACAGAGTTGCCAAGGTTGGAGACCCTGGTCTAGTGGTTAAGACACCAGGCTAGAAAGCTAGAGGCGGTGAGTTCTAGTCCTGCCTTAGGTACGAAAGCCAGCTGGATGCCTTCGGGGTGAGACAGACCGGCCGCACCTCACAGGGTTGTTTCAGTGATTTTAGCAGAGGTGGGCTTCGCATAATTTAACAACTGGTTCATCCAGAATCGAAAATGTGTGCGTGCGCGACTTGCGCACATACACACTGCGTCAAAAGCACGACGATTGTATAGGACGGGATAGCTTTGCTCGTGCGCGCGCCTAACACACATGCATGTTGTGTCAAAACCATGGCGATTGTATAAGACGGGATAGCGCCGGGGCAAGGGGGTGGGCCCAGCCGCTCATTGTAACTACCCTTTTGTCCGAATCGGTACGAACCGGCTGAATCCCATCCCTGGATTTTAGAGGAATATTTAATTGTCTGGGAACGATGTAGACAAGCTGTGAGTTTTCCTGAAATACAATTGCATAGCCAGAAATTGTATCGTACCCCACGGGGGTACACTCGGCTGCTTTTCGCCTGGCACTGCCAGCCTGTCTTTGGGGGGCTCCGATGCCATTCCGGTATCTCTACCTCGTCTTTCTCATCGCCTCTCCATCTTCCTCTCAGGTGCAAACGGGGAAACGATGAACCGGATAAAAAAAGTTGGCTCTGTTTTCTAAGCTCAGATTTGGGGACCGTGCGGCTCTAAACGCTCCTCTTCTTTCTCCTCCGCAGACGCCATGCCTGTATCGGATCCGCGGGGGGATGCAGGCCGGTGGGCCAACGTCAGCTACCGGGTACGCCAGCCAAATGCCGTCGAACCGGCACCCAGGAGGAAGAAACAAAGTTGGTTTCACAAATTTTGCCGGTGCTGCGCGGGCCACCGGGATGACAGCGACTGGACACCGGCGCCTGGCGAAGTCCCGGGAGCCCGGCGGACGGATCCCGTCATCCGGGGTAAGTCATCCAGGGGGGTCTGAGAGACTATCTGAGAAAGATTTGGGGGTGGTGGAAGATGAGCTCAATCGGGTACAAAAATCCCACCCAATTTCAATCAGAATAGATGTGGAAGGGACTCTCCTTGATTAGTTTCCACCCATTGCTTCTTGGGTGGACTTCAACTCCCAGAATTCTATGCTGTGCTGGGGGATTCTGGGAGTTGAAGTCGAGCCGTCTTAAAAGTAGCCCAGGTTGAGAAATACAGGTAATCCTCGGCTTTACGAGCACAATTGAGCCTCAAATTCCTGTTGCTAAGCGAAACATTTGCTAAGTGAGTTTTGCCCCATTTTATGCCGCCACAGTTGTTAAGTGAATCCCCCCAGTTATTAAGTTAGTGACACGGTCGTTAAGTGAATCTGGCTCCCCCCGTTGACTTTGCTTGTCCGAAGTTCGCAAAACGGACTCCGGGACACTGCGACCGTCATATCAGAAAGGTGGGCAGTTCGGTGGTTCGAATCCCTAGTCCAGGTCTCCTGCGTGAGCAGGGGGTTGGGTTAGATGACCTCCAAGGTCGCTTCCAACCCTGTTACCGTTATAAATGCGAGTCAGTTGTCAAGCATCCAAATGGAAAATCCTGTGACCCTAGGGACGCTGGAACGGTCGTAAGTGTGAAAAATGGACGCAAGTCCCTTTGTTCAGTGCTGTTGTCACTTCAAACGGTCACTAAACGAGATGCCGTAAGTCGAGGACTGCCTGTACGGGTTGAAAGCTTCAATAGTTGCACCCATCTTCATCTTCTCCTCTCTGAATTGAATTTCAGTTTGGAGGCAGAAATTTTTACCTCAGGTTTTTGCATCTCGCGAACCCTTAAAAAAATCGGCTGAAAATTTAGATTTCGGCAACTTTTCTTTCGTGGTCTTCGGAACCTCAATCTGGGTTAGGATCAGAAGTGGGTTTCACTTACCTTTGCTGCCGGTTCGCTTCTGCGCATGCGCAGAACGTATTTGACAACGTCCGGGCGCCCAAACAGGGACGAACCTGTAGCAACCCACCCTGATTAGGGACGAACCTGTAGCAACCCACCCTGATTAGGGACGAACCTGTAGCAACCCACCCTGATTAGGATGCAAAAACGTTTGTGGCCGGAGTGAGTGACCCTCCTTTCCTTTTTCCTCCCGCAGAGGGCATGCTGGTCATCAAAAAGATTGATTTAATGAGCAGCCGCACGGGCACCAACCGATGCGCCCATCACACCGACGAGTACGAGTACAACAACCTGATCATCCGCCGTGGGCAGCCCTTCGAGATGAAGCTTCACTTCCAGCAGCCTTTCGATTACGAGGACCACCGGATCTGCCTCGAGTTCCTGGTCGGTAAGTGTTGGCCGACGAACGGTTCCTCCGTCGGGTTTCTAGTCCTCATGACATCCCCCCTGGGATGAGTCTGGGAAGGGACGAAATCAGCAAAGGTCGGAGGTCGGCAATGTGGAAGTAGCCGGTAGTGTTTAGGCGACGTTAGGGATCCGGTGGGGATCTGTTTTGGAGATCATCTTTGAGTCTTGGGAGGGGGACACCTGGCTGATTGCAAACTTGGCAACGGCAATCTTTTATTGATTGACAACTATATTTGACACCTTGGGGATGGAAAGGAGTGTAGTTTCCTTCTTTCCTTCCTCCCTCTCTTTGACTCCTTCCTTCCATCCCTCCCTCCCTCTCCTCCTTCCCTTCCTTTCTTCTTTTTCTTTCCTCCCACCCTGTTCTTCCATCCATCCCTCCTTCTCTCCCTCCCTCCTTCTTTCTTTCCCTTCTTCTCTCCTTTCTTCCCTCCCTCTCTCCGTCCTCCTTTCCTTCCTTACTTTCTCCTTCCTTCTCACCTTCTTTACTTCCTTCCCTCTCTCCCTCCCTCTCTTCCTGTCCTTCCTTCTCTCCCTCCCTCTTTCCCTCCCTTTCTCTTTTCTTCCCTCCCTCCTTCTTTCTTTCCCTTCTTCTCCTTTCTTCCTTCCCTCCCTCCCTCTCTCCATCCTTCTTTCCTTCTTCCCTTTCTCCTTCCTTCCCTCCCTCCTTCTTCCCTTCCTCCTTTCTTCCTTCCTTCCCTCCCTCCCTCAATCTTTCCCTTTTTCTCCCCTTTCTTCCTTTCCTCACTCCCTCGCTCCATCCTACTTTCTTTCCTCTTTTTCTCCTTCCTTCCCACCCTCCTTCCCTCCTTTATTTCCTCCTTCTCTCCTTTCTTTCCTCTGTCCCTCCCGCCTTCCTTCCTTCCTCTCTCCCTTTCTTCCTTTCATCCTTTCCATTCTTCTCCCGTTCCTTCCCTCCCTCCTTCCCTCCTTTACTTCCTTCTTCTCTCCTTTCTTCCCTCCCTCTCTCCCACCTTCCTCCCTCCCTCCCTTTCTTCTTTCTTCCTTTCCTCCCTCCTTCTTTCCCTTCTTGTCCCCTTTCTTCCTTTCCTCCCTCCCTCTCTCTCTCTCCTTCTTTCCTTCCTCCCTTTCTCCTTCCTTCCTTCCCTCCCTTCTTCCCTCCTTCCTTCCTTTCCTTCGTAAGGTTACCTAGGGAATTCTGCAAGTTGACATCCACATGCCAGAAACTCTGCTCTAGAATTTTGAGTTTTAAATGCAACCCTCCAACGTGACATTTTTCCATCGGACCCGTTGAAAAAAAACCCGGAATCGTCTGTTCCCAAGCCGAATCCTTTGCAGGAACGGCCGTTCCAGAATGAACCATCTTCCTAGAGATGGTCCGTTTTGGCTTCCGACAAGCTTACTGACATTTTTTTTCCTTTTTTTCCCCCTGGACTTGCAACGCGGATTTGTGTGTGTCTTAGCGCTTAGTGTGTGTGTTTAACGCTTATTTTTTAAAAACAACCGTAGTCCTCGGACGATAATTCGGGGTTATTTCTCATCTCAAAAAAACGTGGTGGGAATTTGAGCTGGGTTGTAGGGGGTCTCGGAGTCCTCTAGCACAAAAAAAAAAAAAAAAAAAAACCCTCTAAAATTACCCAGAAAGATTAACGTACTTCCTCAAACAGGACCCAACCACCACATCAAACAAGCCGCCCCGATAAATGGATAAATGCAAGGTTTTGTCATAACACGATCCTTTGTCATTAAGCGATTCATCGTTCGGGGGAGGCTATTTTGAGCTTCAGATGACCGCCGCCCCCCGGCTACGAAATTAACCAAATTGCCATCCCAATGACTTCTGCCTGCCTGCCCTGTTTCTTTTAAGCAAGACGGGGGGGGTAGGGGAAGGGAGGAGGGGGCACCAAGGGTCAGATGGAAAACCAACCGGTGCAGCTTTCCCCGTTATGATGCCAGAGGTGGCGCTCAGAGCCCTCTCTATGGGCGCTCACGCCATCGCCAGGGGTGGGCCGTTGGGGGTTTGCAGGGGTTCGGGAGAACCTCTAGCTAAGATTCTGTGCAGTTCGGAGAATCCCCATTCCTGGCTGGCCCCGCCCCGCCAATCCCACTGCTCCTAGGAGTCCCCACGTGGCCCGTTTTGGGTGCCGGATGTGCACGGAGGTTCGGGGAGGGCGAAAAATGGGCCTACTGGAAATTTGGCCCGTTTCCAGCCTCCAGAGGACCTCCAGAGTCTGGGGAGGCCGTTTTCACCCTCCCGGAGGCTCAAGAAAAGCCTCCAGAGCCCGGGGAGGGCAAAAACGCCTCCCCTCGTTGTGGTGCAAGAGACCGACTAGGCCACGCCCACCCAGCAACCAGGCAGAGAACCCCTTGCTAAAATTTTGGAAGCCTACCCCAGCCTATCACGTTTCTCCCGCAGGGGAGGGAGAGAGAGGGAGGGAGGGAGGAAAAGAGAAAGGGAGAGAAAGAGAGGGGGAAAGAGAGAGGGGGGAAGGGAGAGAGGAGGGGAAGAGAGAGGAGGGAGGGAAAGGGAGAGGGAGAGAAAGACAGGTGGAAAGAGAGAGAAAGGGGAAGAGAGAGGGAGAGAAAGAGGGGGAAAGAGAGAGGGAGGAGAAGAGACAGAGAGAGTGGGAGGGGTAGAGAGGGAGAGAAAGAGAGGTGCAAAGAGAGAGGGAGGGGAAGAGACTGAGAGAGATGGGAGGGGAAGAGAGGGGGGAAAGAGAGAGAGGGAGGGAAAGAGAGAGGGAAAGAAAGAGGGGGAAAGAGAGGGAGGAGAAGAGACAGAGAGAGTGGGAGGGGTAGAGAGAGGGAGAGAAAGAGAGGTGCAAAGAGAGAGGGAGGGGAAGAGACTGAGAGAGATGGGAGGGGAAGAGAGGGGGGAAAGAGAGAGAGGGAGGGAAAGAGGGGGAAAGAGAGAGGGAGGAGAAGAGACAGAGAGAGTGGGAGGGGAAGAGAGGGGGGAGAAAGAGAGAGGGGGAAAGAGAGAGGGAGGGAAAGACAGAAGGGAGAGAAAGAGAGGGGGAAAGAGAGAGGGAGGAGAATAGAGAGGGGGAGAAAGAGAGAGAGGGGAAGAGAGAGAGGTGAAAAGAGAGAGGGGAAGAGAGGGAGAAAAAGAGGTGCAAAGAGAGAGGGAGGGGAAGAGACAGAGAGAGGGGGGAGGGGAAGAGAGAGGGGGAGAAAAAGAGAGAGGTGAAAAGAAAGAGGGAGGGGAAGAGAGAGCGCGGAGAGGGAGAGAGCGAGAAAGAGAGGGAGGGAAAAAGAAATAATATCACAATTTTTTTTTATTTTTTATTGTTGCTAAACGTAATATTTCAAAAGCAGGGGGGGAAAGAAAAATGAAGGGGCACCAAAGTGCATTTATCACGGGTTTTTTGTTTTATTTTTCTTTCTTAGAACAATTAGCTGAACGTCTGCCTCGCTTATCATTACTTTAGGTCGCAAAACCTCATCCTTCAGCTTAAATTATCGTGTTGGCACTCGGCTCTAAATCAGCGGCTTTGGGGTTGCCGTTTGGGCCCTCCGGTTCGCCATCCCTGATCTGGTGGATGCAAAAAAAAAAAAAAACACCCCCGAAAAGAATTAAACCCAGACGGGGAGGGCAATCGTTCCCTCCCTTTGCTTAAAAACCAGACAGAAGCATCCCCGCACTTTTGCAGGAGACTAAATGCTTCTGTTTTTACTGGTGGAACTGGTCCCCGGCTCGCAATACCATTCGTTTTATTATGATGATTATCCCCGACCTCGCGCCGCTGAACCGGCTGAGGAATTTTGGCCTCCCACAACCCCTGAAGGGTTGTGTGTGCCTTGCATTGCTACATTTCTCTAGGAGAAGTTTGCAAACAGGGCAGGGCGTACAAGACACAACACCGCCTGCCTGCCTGCCTGGCTTCCAGCCCGGCCACAACCTTTTTGCTCGTCTTTCCCGTCGGCATCTCTCTTTGCAATTTTTGCAGGGGTTTTATTTTTTTTGCCCCATCGCCACCAATTTTGGAGAATCGTGGTGGCAACCGTTGATTATCGCGCAAGGTTGTCATTTTGTAGATTTTGGGGTTTGTCCTCCTTGATTTGATTTTATTTTTTGTGTGCCAGGACTGCCCCCCCCCGTCCTTATCAACACACAAACACACAGAGACATCTGCGAAGGCCCGAGGCCAGAATTTGGAAAAACCAGACAAGAGCGAGAGTCAAAATTAAAAAAAAAAAAAAAATTGCAAAGGGGGAGAGGGGTTTGCAGGTCCGGGTAGGGGAAGGGTTTAATCTCCGGCCTGCTATCTCCCTGCCCTGAGGGCCCAGACAGAAAAGAAACATATTTGAAGTGGGTAATTTGGTGTTTCCACTGATTTTTAACAGTTTGTTAATTGGATACAGGCTTCGGTTGTTACTCAGACTTGGCAATTTGGAGACGGGTGGGCTTCAACTTGCAGAATTCCTCAGAATCCATCCTTCCTTCCTTCCTTCTTTCTTTTCTTCCTTCCTTCCTCTTCTGTTCCTTTCTTTCTCCCCTCCTGCTCTCCTTCCTTCCATTCCTTCTTCCTTCCTATTCTCTTCCTTTATTTCCATTTTCCCTCCTTCCCTCCCTCTCTCCTTCCTTCCTTTCCTTCTTCCTTCCTATTCTCTTTCTTTATTTCCATTTTCCCTCCCTCTCCTTCCTCTCTCCCTTCCTCTCTTCTTCCTTCCTTTCTTCCTTTCTCTCTCCCCCTTCATCTCTTCCTTCCTTCCTTCCTATTCTGTTCATTTCCTTTTTCCCTTCCTCTCTTCTTCCTTCCTTTCCCTCTCCGCCTTCCTCTCTCCTTCCTTCCTTCCTCTGTTCCTTTATTTCCTTCTGTTCTCCCTCTCCTTCCTTCCTTGCTTTCCTTCTTCCTTCCTCTTCTGTTCCTTTCTTTCTCCCCTCCCGCTCTCTTTCCTTCCTTTCCTTCTTCCTTCCTATTCTCTTCCTTTATTTCCGTTTTCCCTCCCTCCCTCTCTCCTTCCTCCCTTCCTCTCCCCTTCCTCTCTTCCTTCCTTCCTCTTCTGTTCCTTTAT